ACATTAATTTACCCATTCTTTTTTCCATTTGCAAGCTTGTAGCTCTGTACGTGATTTTACGCAGGGATTAGAGCAGCAACTTCAGTCGGCAACTTCAAAGGAGATTCGAGCGATTCCATCGACAACTGAGGCGACAAGCTCGATCGACGACTATGGCAATTGTGAAGAATACTTCGTCTGCGTTATTTGCAAAGGATTCATTCACGAATTGCTTCTACAAACAAGCCGGGCGAAATTATATTGCAGAGATTAATTTGTGCCTAATCTGCTAATTTTCTCTGGTTAAAAAAATAAAGATTATTTATTTTTCAGATTTTGTGTGGTTGAGTAGATAAATTTAATTTGTGAATGTTGGGGAAAATTAGGGCTGTTTTTAGGAGCTTGAACTAGTATAAATAGGGCTGAATTTTCAGTAAAAGATAGTCAGTTTTAAGAACAATTTTATTTCACTGTAAACATTTCATTATGATGTGTTGCTAAGATTTGGAATTAATTACATAATTAACTCCATTTAAGAATTGGATTTTCGGGGTGTCACAGTGCTGCCTGAGGAGGAGCCGTCGTCGCTGTCGACCTCTGGAGTCCACATACCACCGTCTGACACCCATCTGCCACCGTCAGTCTCACCGCCAGGCTCCAAGTCGACCGCGTAGTGCTACTGCCGGCCCATCAACGAATTTCCCTCTGTAATTCCGCCATTGATTTTGCCTCTGCTCACCTTCAGTTCTCTCGTCGCAGCGGTTCGTTCATCATCGGTCAGTTCACTACTTTGATTTCTCTTTCACTATCAATAGTTGTTTGTTTTGCACTTTTGTGTGCGTGTATGTGTGAGTTTGAACTAGCTCTGTTCAATATAGTTGAAGAAGTACTGGTTATATATAGATATGTGAAGAAGTATGCTTACAATCATGCAATTTAATTTGTCTCAAAGCAATCTATTATTAGAAGTTTGTTGACATCATGACGCTTGCTGTCTAATTTGAGAAGTGAAAAACAAAACTAATTTCCTATTATTAGTATATTATTAGTATACATTACACATAGAAAAGTATTTTAAATCTGGTTGGGAATAAGCACATGTGTTTTTTTTGAAACCAAAAGAAGTTTATTAATCATCCAAAAAGTCTGCACCAACAATACAAGAGATAAATCTAGGAATACAATCCACATATTCTACCCTGCCCTCTCTACATCAGACAATGAGTGTTTCGCTATTTCGTGAGCTAGGATATTTGCATCCCTTTTAACAAAATTCAACGTAACTGAGTGCAGTTGATTTAAAAGAAAACGAATGTCATGAATAATTAGCCCAAAAGGAGAGCTATGTATCCCTCCCTTCACCGCCGTTATCACTACCTGAGCATCCGTTTCAATTATCACTCCACTCCATCCCTTGTACTTTATCCAACTTAAAGCCTCTCGTACCCCTACTGCCTCCGCTTCTCGAACAGGATAGAGTCCCTCTACCTTTTGCCAACCCATATTCTTCACCAATCCCATCCCGTCTCTCATTACCCAACCAAACCCATATGTTTTCTCTAAAAATCCATAGCTACATCCACGTTTATCTTCATACAACCTTGCATGGGGGGCTGCCATCTTGCCGTAGCAAAACTGGAGCGTTGCTAGGGATATGAACTATCAGCTTTCATGTGAACCTGCTTCCTGTTTTGTACATAGATTAAGGATTGTGTGACTAGTGTTTTTGCATTCATGCATTGATGTTTGAACACCATATTATTTCGGTTATCCCATAGCGCCCAACAAATAATAATAATCTTTTCCATCATCTCTGTTGGCAAGCTTGTCCACATATCTTCAATCCACGCGTCAAGAGAGTCCACATGCATCATTCTCCAATTTCTGTCCAGTTTGCTCAAGCATGCCTGGGCAAATGAGCAGTTTGTGAAGAGTTGGATTGCAGACTCATACTTCGCACCGCACATAGGGCACAACAGTTCACATGCTACCTGGTTTGTGATCAAAATATCTTTAGTAGATAAGCGTTTTGTACACAACGCCCAGAAAAAAACATTTTATTTTAGGAGGCAGTTTCATAGCCCACATCCCTTGCCCATCTCACCCCTCCCTCACCATCCCAATCCTTGGTTATCATCCTATATGCACTCTTTACAGTAAACTCTCCCTTCTCTTCTCCCTTCCAATACCAATCCTCATCAACACAAGTGGTAGCAGTAGGCAAACTTAGGATAAGTTTTGTATCCCTTTGTTTAAACATATCACACAATAACTCCCCATCTCAGGTTTGAGAATTTGGGTAAAAAAGAGAAGCTACCTTTGGAGTCCCCAAATACCCAGGGTCTGGAGTTGAAATGTATGGGTTATTTAAGTCCGGTAACCAAGGGTCCCCCCAAACCTTTATGTTCATACCATTCCCTACTCTCACCTGAGCTCCCTCTCTAATTAAATCTCGAGTTTCCCGTATGCTAGACCACACTCATACATTAGATTTGCCCAACGACTACTGAAACCTAGTTTTAACAGAATAGCCTTCAAGAAGCCTCACTCAACCCTGTCATAGGCTTTGCTCATGTCGACTTTTAGAGCCACAACTTCCCCCATTCCACTGACCCCTGTGTAAAGCATGGGTAGACTCGTATGCAATTAACACATTATTAATAATGGACCTACCCGGGATGAAAGCACTCTGAGCACATGAAATAACAAAATCCAAAATAGTCCTAAAGCGATTTGCTAAGACTTTCCCTAAGACTCTGTATAACACATTACAAAGAGAAATCAGGTGGAAATAAGTCATCACCTCAACATGTTTCTTTTTTGGAATTAAAGCAATATGGGTCTCATTTGCAGACACAGGTAACTGACCCGAAATTAAAAAGGACTGACAGAAAGAAACTACCTCCTTGCCCAAGACATCCCAATGAGTTTGGAAGAAAGCTGGGGATAGACCGTCAGGCCCCAGGGACTTATCCGGGTGCATAGTGAACAAGGCCACCGGAACTTTGGCATGAGTAAAATCACGTAAGAGGTCCTCGTTCTGAGCAGGCGACACCCTTTCCTCCACCCAGTCAAGAGCCGACTTCCTGTCTCCTCCTCCCGCCGTAAACAGCCCCTCAAAATAATCCATCGCTATCGCCCCATCTGCCTCTCATCTGTAACCAACACACCCCCCTCATTCCGTAAGCCCTTTACAAAATTTCTCCTCCTTCGAGTGTTAACAGAATTTTGGAAAAAACGACTATTTACATCGCCCTCCTTATACCACATCTCCTTTGCTCGTTGCCGCCAACGATCACTTTGGTTTTTCACTAGAGTGAAGTAGCGGTGCTGGACTTTACTAAACACGTATCTCCCCTCTCCCCCTACCCATTCGCTGCATACAACGCCTAATTTCTTCTTCTTCTTTGTGAAAACTACCCCTTCCCCATCGCCATACTGCCTCCCCACATCCCATCAGCCTATGCATGATATCACACCCTCCCAGTCTAGCCCAAGTATCTTGTTGGAAAATTCAAAGAGGATGTGCGCATTTTGTGCACTCCTTTTTTGTGGTCAGCATGTTTTTTGCAAAGTTGTGGACATCATTGTTTGTCTCTCTTTGCATGGCTAATATGGGAGAGCTGCTTACTATATAAAGAAGCTCTTACCATATTTGGAAAGGACACCTGACTTCAAAGTTATTTGTTCTATTCTTCTTCTTTCTCCCGTAGTCTGAGCAATAGTGAGGTTCACCTACGTGATTGCTAGTGCAAGCTATCCGTAGTAGGTCTGTGTAGCCTGTCGAAAGCGTGCCAGGGTACTAACTGCACCGTTACCGGGCAAATAACGCTTTTAAGGTAGTGTTATTATAACACGGCACAGATTTTCTTCCTACCATACATCCGTAGTGTCCGTGCTTCTTAAAAGGCTTCCAGATCGTGCGTTGACGTTGCTATTTTCCCCAACAGTTAAAAGCGTTATTGTGCAACAGTCAACCTTTAGCATTATGGCACCTTCTGTCATACCGGATCTATCAAAAATCACCGCGCTTGATGGGAAAAATTACAGCAGTGTTCTCTCCATTTGGTGATACAAAATGTAATCATGAACCTGATTACACTCCGGGTGAAGAATCGTGAGAAAGCAGTCCTGAAATAGATTACATTCCGGGTCAAGAACTGGGTGTAACTCTGATTCAATTTAGAAATGACAATGCGGCAGCCAGAGGATACCTGCTGTCACAAATGAATGACGATTTGTTCGACATCTATGTCAAACAAGATTCGGCAAAAGTCATTTGGGAATCACTGTCAGAAAAGTACGGTGCCAATGGAACTGAAAGTCAAAGTGTCAGAACCGTCTACAACGAAAGGAGTAGAAAAATAAAAAAGTTTAAAGGAAGGTGTTTTACGTGCAGAAAGCAAGGACACCGAGCACACCAGTGCTACCATCACAAGGGCAAAACTAGCAAAAGTCAATCTGATAGAGCAAGATGAGTATTGAGTCTCTTTAAATAAATAGTTATTTTGAGTAACTATGTTTGCTCTAGTTCTAAGGGTTCGCATGAAGTATGGTTATCGTAGTACATGATTTCTAATTGAGCTGTCTAGATTTTGATTACTTAGTAGTACTTATTTCTTTAGTATTTTGAATACTAATGACATTGATTGAAATAATTCGTGCATAGATATTGCTCAAACTTTTTACTAAAATTATTTGTATAAAAATAAGAGCATATATCATAGGCTTTAATTGTAATTTAGTGAGAACATGGAAAAGTCATCATTCTTGAACACTCTGTCTAGGAAGATGGTTTTTAAGTAAACTTCGGTTTCACCACTCGACCTGGGAGTTTTTAAGAAGTAGGGTGTTGATCATGCAGGCTAGTTAGAGCGCCACTTGATCTTTACCTGAAATGAGGTTGACTTTCATATGTTGCTAATACAATCAAAGCCTTGCAATAGAAGTTGTTGAAGTACTACAATATTGATCCGCACCCTATGAATGCTTTATATGAGTTTTAAATTCCTTAAGGGAAGGAAAAAATTGTGCTAGTGGCAACTCTGAAGTCTCATTGTTGAGAGATATTCCGAATAAATATGAATTCGAACATATTCCTTGTGTATGAGATTAATTTCTTATAAGAATATGATGTGAAATTTGTGATTATATTGTTCAAATTCATGTAGCATGTGAACAACATTATTTCTATGGCTTACTAACAATGAGCATTTATATATATTTTATTTAAACTCTTGGTTGAGTCATATTGAAATACCTATAATTCCTAGTTAAAGGGTAATTGTGATCAATTGAGATAACCAAGTTTGTTGAAATATCAACTGTTGAGCATGTATCAGGCAGAGTGCGAAGCTTCTATAATGCTCCACAAAGCAAGTCGGCAAAACTCAGTCTACAAAGGAGCTAATGATGGGCACCAAATATCAGTCTGGGTAAGAGATCAAATACATTTGACAAAAATATTTGTAAGTGTTGCTTTGTGGGGTAATAAACTCCATATATTTTCATCAAAAGTTTCTCTGTGGTATTGAGAATAATGATGAAAGAGAATGTGTCATGTTAAACATGAAAATCTCAAGGGATTATTTACGAGTAAACGAAGTACTCGTCAAAGTGCATGTAGTTTGGTCAAGAGAATCAACTTACTTGAGGCTAATTATGAGGATTAGTCATTGACTCATTGGAAGGACTTAAAGTCCAAGTGGTAATGAATTCGTGGTGGATCCCACTTCTGTGGTCAAACGAAACCATGAAAAGAGTTACAAAATAGTACACTAGTTGGTCATTCCGACAGTGTGTGTACCTGTGAGGTTGAGCTACAGCTCTTAATGAATTCATAACTCTTTGAGAAAGGGTGGTTTTGTTGAGACAAACTTAATGAATTCGCCGCATGTGAGGTTGAGCTACAACTCTTAATGAATTCATAACTCTTTGAGAAAGGGTGGTTTTGTTGAGACAAACCTAATGAATTTACCGCATAATGACATGAGTACAAAGTGCTCGTGGTGCCCATAGATACTCTGTAGCCAGTCATGGTGGTCTGCGTTGAGGTAGACTTGACAGAGTTGAAGGTCTATCCTAGAATAGACCTAACAGGGATATCTCAGGGTCAAGAGTATGACCTCACATATTTTAAAGCGACAAAAGCAAATTAAGTGCGTTAAGTTTAAACTTTGTCTATTCGATGAGTTCAAGATCAAATTCACTCCCGTTTAGAGAAGTACTTAATGTCACTATATGACAGTTCAAGTTTTATACACTGGCATGAAAATTTGTTTTGATCGTTGTCAGGCAATGACAGCATCAGCCTAAGTCCCTTTAATGGTGGGGGATTGTTGGGAGCATTTAAAAGGAAAGGCTTCCTTTTGCCTATCCATGTTGCCCCACATTGGAAGTTTAGCCTCTTATACTCAATTGGGATGGTCTATGTTGAGATAGACCTAAAGAGATCCCTAACTTGAGTGGAAAAGGGCTACCATGGTCTATGTTGAGATAGACCTAAAGAGACCCCTAACTTGAGTAGAAAAGGGCTAACAGCCTCTTATGAAAGATAATGGGTTATCCCAAGAAGCTGAGTGGCTAAGAAACATGGTGATAACCGTGTAATTGTGGGAGTGTCCAACACCTTCCTTCATTGTGATTCACAAACTGTCGTTTGCATTGCAAATAACAGCCTATGATAGAAAGAAAAGACTTACAACTGATTTATGTCTTTAACTACTCTACAAGCCTTTAATGGTGGTCTATACCGAGATAGACCTGATAGAGTTAAAAGTCTGTATTGAGATGGACTTCACAAGACGGAAAAAATCTATAATGTTGTAAGACTTGTCAGAGTTAAAAGTCTATTTTGTGATAGACTTTGACAGGGTAGAAGTCCATATTTGAGACAGACGTAACATTCTTTAATACTAAGGGTGTTCATAAGAAGTCAAAGAGTTTGACTTTTGTAGAACCTGTTTTTTGAGTTGGTGTGTGCATTCGAGTTCAAAATTTATCTAACCGGTGAGTTCAAGATTCACATCACTCCCGGGAAGAAAATTACTCAGTGTCACTACGTGTCAGTTCAAGTTCTCAAACACTGACATTAAGATCAACTCATTTGTATTGCTCAAACTTTATCCTTTCCTTTCCTCTTTAAATTTGTGGGGGATTGTTGGAAAATTCAAAGAGGATGTGCGCATTTTGTGCACTCCTTTTTTGTGGTCAGCATGTTTTGTGCAAAGTTGTGGACATCATTGTTTGTCTCTCTTTGCATGGCTAATATGGGAGAGCTGCTTACTATATAAAGTTATTTGTTCTATTCTTCTTCTTTCTCCCGTAGTCTGAGCAATAGTGAGGTTCGCCTACGTGATTGCTAGTGCAAGCTATCCGTAGTAGGTCTGTGTAGCCTGTCGAAAGCGTGCCAGGGTACTAACTGCACCGTTACCGGGCAAATAACGCTTTTAAGGTAGTGTTATTATAACACGGCACAGATTTTCTTCCTACCATACATCCGTAGTGTCCGTGCTTCTTAAAAGGCTTCCAGATCGTGCGTTGACGTTGCTATTTTCCCCAACATATCCGTCACCACCTTTCTGCATTCTGGATGATTTCCCCATACATTCTCATACAACTGCCTTCGCCTAAACTGTCTCTCCCGACCTCCATTCACTCTTAACAATAAGGGCATGTGATCGCTACAGCTTCCCTCCAACGACCAAGCCCTGGCATTGGCGAACACATTCCTCTAGCCCCCAGAGGCTAGAATGCGATCCAGTTTTTCTCGCACCCACCGCTCATTGCCTCTCCCCCTCTCCCAGGTAAATTGACACCCCTCAAAGTTGAACTCAGATAGCCTGCTCACTTCCACCGCCTCCCTAAACCCCCTCAGCAGCCAAGGAAGTTGTGGAACCCTTCCATCCTTATCCCTATCCCACATCATATCGTTAAAATCCCCCATAATAACCCAAGGAAAGTTATTTACAAAAGATAAATAACATATGAGTGCCCAAGACTCGCCGATGTTGACGTTTTGGACTTCCACAGTACCCGGTGAACCGCCATGACGGAGCAGAACCACCGCCAGTTACCTTTGTGTCAATGTAGTGGTTTGAATAACCCACCACCTCGACGTCCAAACCCCCATCCCACAGCAACGTCAACCCCCCACTCCGTTCCTGAGCCTCTACTGTAAAACAGCCTTCGTATTTTAGCTTCACCCGAATCTGCTCCATACATACCGAATCACTTAACGTTTCAAAAAGAAAAAGAATGTTAGGTTTATGTTGAGTAACAAAAGCTAACAAGATTTGAACTGCCAATGGGTTGCCAAGCCCACGACAATTCCAACTTAGGCAACTCATTGGGCCCGGTGGGCCTGGTGACCAGGACCTACCTCATCAGTCACATGTTTAAACTGAACCTCAACAATCATCGCTTCATTACCTTCTCTAATAACTTCCCGAGTAATAGCTACCCTACGCCTTTTCTGATCAACCACCACTACTCCCTCACCCTCACTGTCCTCATAAATGGCTGCATTCATACCTCCCTCTTTATTTCCCAATAATGACTCCCTATCATTTGATTTCTCCGTAACTCCCTTATACTGCATTAAATTTTAATTAACGACTTCGTTAGTGGAAACCGTTACAGAAAGATTCGTCGGACTGTTCCGATTTGTGGCCCCCGCTTTTAGATCCATTACCAGCCACCGGTTCTCCGGCGATGGCGGTGCCGCCTTCTTTCCACCCGCCCTCAGCCACGTCCTAAACGGTTTCTCCCTACCCACCACTTCCTTTTCAAATGCTTTTGGCCAAAACTTATCCCCATGACCTATATTCCACAATGAAAGCAGAAAGATGGCAACATCGCGTACCTCAGATCAATCTAAAACCACTCCCCTCCTGGCTTTTTCATCTTCATCTTTGGTTTCAGAGGCTTTGTGATATCCATCGTAACCCTAACTCGCATGAATTCTTTCCGTCCGCCCTCAGAATTTCGTTAAGATGGTAGATTGTGGTGGTTGGCAATTGGGATTTATTGTAACATGTGGGGGTTTAGGGTATAGCTTGACAGTAATGAGTAAACTACACTTTTCAAGTAGTAGATATGGATTTGAATCCCATTGTCACCATTCCCAATTAGATGTATTAAAAAAATTTATGTAATTGGTGTTTATGTTTGATTTCTTCACAGCATTAAGTTCTTGCAAGAGCTGCTATTTGTGTGATTTTCTAATTGTTTTAATGGAGTGAACTTGGATTTGATCATGTGTTTTATCTCATGATTATAAGATAGCTTATTCACCCTAAAAGACGAAGTCACCAAAATCATCGGTTGGATCGTTCCCATCACCATGTTCTAGAGTAATGTCCTTTCTAAATCTGAAGATTTCTATATGTATTTTGATGTTGTTGTCATTTACTCTAATGTGTTATCTCTGCTTGGATTTAAATTGACTCTGTCCAAAAAGATGCATTTTTCTGAACTTCTAAATAAGCATATATGGTCCTATATTTCCTGTAAATCCTACACAAGCCATGTTAAACTGCCCAATGGGTTTTCATAAACACTTTTGTTTTGGAATTGAATGTGTTCTGCTGCTAAAATGAAGGTTTTCAAGGGGTGGGGAAGTAAACACACTATTGAACATTTTTTTCCTTGCCAATATCTAGAATTAGTTTCTACATTTGTAGTTTTCCATTTGGAAATAGTGTTTTCCAACTCTAATATCCTTATATAGTGTAAGTCAATTGATTGGCCATCATAAACACCACATAATTATAAACATTTTACCATCTTATAAATGTACCTGTACTTTCTCTCCACTGCACACACAACCAATTTGTATTTGTGTTTGTTGGTATCATTTGGCTTCAAGGAGAACAACTGGGTGGGCTGTGGTGTCAAACTTGTTGGTTATGAACTGAATGAATTTGCATTTGCTTAGATGAATAATGCCACATAAAGCAATGATGATGAGGCAAAATGGCCCGATCCGGTCGTTGTAAAATTTTTGACTATTTTAAATGAAAGAGTAAAAACAAAAAGTAAGGATTGAAAGCTTTCATTCAAGCCTTCAGAATGGGCTGAAATTGATCGTGAGATGATAAACTCCATTGGCTTATGTTACGGGCCGATAAAATTTAAAGGAAAGATGAATAGGCTGAAAATGATGTACAATCAGTTTTATGAGTTGATTGCTCATACTGGGGTAACATACAATCCATCTACCAACACCGTGCACGCATGTGAGGATACATGGAATAAATTCTACACGGTATGAAACATACACTTTTTGTTCCATTACATTATAATGATACCGAATTATTTCATTCAATTGAATACTTTAATAATACATATTTTTATGGTTGAAACAGAAGCATTCTAAATTCAAGACTTTTAAGCGAAATGGTTGCAAACACTATGAGTTAATGGCTGAGGTGTTTGCCCCATCTGTTGCTACTGGAGGTCTTGCCAAATCTTCCTCATAAAGGCCACCAAACTCTGATGAGGAAGGCGATGATGAAGATTAGTTCTTGCATAGTGCCATGCCATCATCATTTTTTACTAAAGGTGGTCCCAGTTCCAAAGGGAAAAGGAGTTTGGATGATTTGTTGAATATTGCTGGTAGCACCAAGAAGAGCAATACCAAGAAATTGAAAGATGAGTTTGCCAATGCATTGAATACTATTTCTATGAGTATTTCTTTGAAACAAACCCGTCAAAAAGCTAGGGAAGAGGCAAGTACGATGAGTAAGGCGGCAGTGGGTAATCCATACAGTATGAAAGCGTGTATGGAGATATTGAAAAACATGAGTGACATTCCCTCTATAGCTGTTAATGCATGTACCCAACAGTGGGCAAATCTTGACATGCGCTGAAGCGTTCATAGAAATGACACCTGAATGGAAATGTAGCTGGGTGTTTTCATTTGAATGTATTGAACTTGTCTGTTGTTGTTGTTGTTGTTGTTCTTAGGACTTTGTGACCTCCTTAATTTGCAAATTGATGACTATGTCTGTAATAACACTTATTTAAGTTTTAAATGTCAAGACTATTTTTTTTCACATGTGTATTACACTTCTTACTGCATGGATAATGTTAGAACATGATTATAGTTCTAATAGCTCTAGTGATAGTGATGAAGAAGATTATGCACTAGTACTTATTATTATTGCTGCATGCAGCTTATTGCTGGACAATGTAGAAAGGACTCCATGTAGGACCACAATCCTTTCAGGTAAAGATTACATAAATGAAATCTTGCATGGAAATCCTGCTAGGTGTTATGAATCTTTTAGGATGGTGCCCCGGGTGTTCAAAAAGTTATGTGGTAGATTGAAGGGGTTGGATGCATTAAAAGATACAAGACATATATCAGTGGAGGAGCAATTAGCAATGGGTTTCTTATCTCTAACCCATAGAAGTTCACAACGTATAATTGCTGAGCGGTTTCAACATTCCACTAGAACTATACACAAATGTGTGAAGCGTGTCATACATGCACTTGTACGATTTGGAAATGAAATCATCAAGCCCGTGAATAGAGGACCGATGCAACCAGAAATTTTAGCAAATTCCAAATGGTATCCTTATTTTGAGGTATGTTGGTAGTTGTAGGCAACTTTAATAAAATTAATGTAATTATTTATGTAAAGTATCTAATACGAATATTTACAATCTTGGTGTTAGAAATGTATAGGTGCTATAGATGGAACACATGTCGCAGCTTGGGCAGCTGCATCAAAGCAAAACACATTTCGAGGTAGAAAATGAGGAATGTTGACCCAAAATGTAATGGCGGTTTGCTCGCATGACATAATGTTTACATTCGTGCATGCGGGTTGGGAAGGAAGCGCGAATGATTCTCGCATATTCTTAGATGCAATCTCAAAGCCTGGAAGTGATTTTCCTATGCCACCCGAAGGTAAGAGTATTCGAATAACTTATTAATTTCAATAATTTAACTTAGCGTAATTTAGTACTTCTTTTAAGTATATTCTTTTTGTCAATTAAATAGGTTATTACTACGTTGTTGATGGTGGTTACCCAAATGCACCCGGTTTTTTGGCACCATACCACGGGGAGCGCTACCACTTTAATGACTTTCGTGGGCAAGGACGGATACGAAATAAGCAAGCCCTATTTAATTATCGACACTCATCTTTGCGGAATGTGATTGAGCGGTGTTTTGGACTTTTAAAGGCAAGATTCCCAATTCTAAAGTCCATTAATGGTTACCCATTGATTAGGCAAAGACAAATTCTTCTTGCATGTTGTGCATTACATAATTTCATTTGGTTGGAAGACAGAGATGATCAATTAGGTATGATGTACGGATCGCAAGACATGGTTTTGGATGATGGTGGAAATAGTAGTGGTGGCGGCAATGATACCATACAATTAGATATGAGTCAACAAGACCAAATGCTACAATTGCGTGAGGACATCGCAAATGCACTCTGGACAAATTATAATCATTGATGGTGTACTCAATTTTATTTCCAATATTTTGTAATCACATTTCGTCACGAACAACTTATTTTAAATTATTGCTATTAATATGTTTTCTAATGACATTTTAATTTTTCACGAAATAACTTATAAATATATGTATGCAGTACATTTGTAATTTAGTAAATAGAGAATGGATTTCGAAAATAAGTACAGGTAAACAAGTTTTCAATTTCAGTTTTCGAAAACAGAGAATAATTTTCTGTTAGTAAATTGACTCTTGGTGTTTTTGTGTAATGTGGGTTGGAGATGGCATTAAAGTATTGAATTGTTAGTTTTTAAAATAGTGAATTGAAATTAACAAAAAATCAAGACTCCAATAGTCATAGATAAAATGTAATTTTTTCATTTGAGCATCTTAAATTAGTCTCGTTTACCTTCACTTGCTTTGCTAATTCAGTTTTCTTTCCTTCTTGTTTTAATTTAAATTTTAGTAAACAACATATAAACCATATAATGCGTGTAATATAAGACATAAGAAATACTACTTAAACAAGAATGTTACTCCGTATATTTATTATTATCATATGTAAAATAAATTGAAATCATTACGAAATAATGATAATTCACGCTTAAAAAAAAAAAAGATTTAACATAAAAGCTTCAAGGTGTCTACGGATAAATCCACTCTTATATAATAGTCCGTAATTATAGAGTAAAAGTAAATCGTATTAAAAAAACCTTATGCGATAGACTCAACAAAGAGAGTTTTTTGCAAAAATCAAAACTGCGATCATACATGAATCATACTACATTCACTCGGATAATGTACCCTTTTGGGGCATTTTTTTTTTTTACTTACAAAACAAAAAAAAAAAATACACTTTTATATCTAATAAAAATAAAAATAAAAATAAAATAAAGCAACAATTCATAAAAATTATCATCAGGACTTTATTTTTCTGGGGAGAAATGGCTATAGCCCACAGACGTTGGCGCAATTAGCAAAGCAATTCTCCAATTGTGCACCATCTGCCAAACAAATCGCAAAATAAATGGCAACTTTAATAGTAAAAAAAAAAAAAAAAAAGGTGAAATGATTTTCCTTCTGAACGTCATTTTCAATCACTAAAAGTTGCACTTCATTAACATGCATGGTCCTCTTATCAAATTGTTTAAAGAGTATTGTATTATACATAATTTCTACTGTCTGTACGTACGTTTAACTACACATTTTGATTCAACTTAAAGAAAAGAATGTGCTACCGTTTTTAATATAAGTCGCAGTTCATTTTTAGTACTTTTTCAAAACATCTCTATTTGGTCATGTATTAATGTGATATTAGACCTGGTAATTATGGACACGACCCGTTAACACGACACGAAACCGGACATGAAAATAACGGGTTAGTGTTTAGTCTTAACGTGTCCCGGGTCCTTAACGGGTTGACCCGTTATATTTCGTATCTTAACGGGTCAACCCGTTAAACCTATTAAGAACCCGTTTAACCCGTTAACACGAACTCGTTTACTGAACATGTTTGTAACCCGCTAAGAACCATTGTCATTTAGGTAAGAACCATGGTCATGAATGAAATTAGAAAAGATATTATGAACATGACTAAGGATGAATTTACTACATTAGGCTAAGATCCTACACCATTCAACAATTAGAAATTTGAATTTGTGTTGTGTTCAATTTGATTCTAAAAACTAGTATGGACTCCTTTAATTATGATTTTTCGATGTTATTTTATCATTTTATGAATGTTATGGATTGAATATTTTTTAGTTTGTTTGATGATTAAACTGTAGGTTTTATTTATTTTTTATAGAACTTAACTTTAAATTTTAGTTTTTTTTTTTAAAAAAAATATATTAATAGAAATAGCGGGTTTAAACTGGTTTCGTGTCATATCGTGTTGACACGACTTGAAATATGTTAACAAAACGTGTCTATCGTGTCAACCCATTTAACCCGTTAACAAATCGTGTTCGTGTTCGTGTTAAAAATTTAAACCCGTTAACCATAACGTGTCGTGTCCGTGTTTAGCCTTATCGTGTTCGTGTCGTTATCGTGTCGACCCGTTAACGGACCCGTATACACGAATTACCAGGTCTATGTGATATGATCATTTTTTATCTTTTGTCAATAAGATCGTTGACTCTAATCGACAAATGACTACAAAGAGATAAATTAACTTAGGTTGCTTATAGCTGAACGACTCAAATTAAGATGGCTAATAGGTCACTCCTGCTAGAAAGTCAAACTCGTAACATTGAACTTACCAAGTCACAACTTAACTAACTTGTCTCCCAAAAAAATGAACATATTTTTTTAAAAAAAAAAAATTTTGAGTTAATAACCAAAATCATCTATCGACTATGTCATAATTCACAAATTAGTACTCGACGTCTATCAAATTTCTCAAATTAAGACATCAACTATTATATTCTTACTCAATAAGGTCATCTGCCAGTCACTTTATTGAGTAAGAAATAAATAGTTGAAAATTTAATTTGGTAAACTTAATAGTTAAAAATCAAATTGTGAATTATTATAACATAATAAAATGAGAATTTTGGTTATTAACTTTTTAATTTGATATTTGGTAGACATGTACACTTTATGTGACGTTTTACAATGTTAGATTTTTTTTATTTATTTTTTTAAATTTCCTACTTTGCTTGTTTTTTCCTCGGAGTCATTATAGGCAAGCAATGAATTGATAGCAATATAGTGATGTTATTCCACCAAACGATGATGATGAGTATACTTTCCTTGCTTTAAAGATTTTGATTATTGATGAAAAATATATATATAGCCATATAGGTGAAAATTACCTTATTGGTTTTAACACCTTGATTATTATTAATGACAACAAGTTTACATAGAAAATAATAATTAATAATATAAAAAATTAAATGACAAATAGTATAGTACGTACTAGTGATGGATGGAAAGCAAAGTTGAAGAGAGCAGCCGATCTGGCAATAGTTCTGGTACTGCGCCGCCGACTGGGGAACGCAACTGCTCAAACAACCAATATAGCATGGAAAATTCCCACCGCCGGCTACGGCGGAGCTCCGGCCAAGCAAAACACACTGATTATAACATCCTCCCCAACAAGTATACAAATTACCATTCTCTGCAAACTGACCTTCAACCTGCTGCATCATCACCAACATCAAACCCTGTATGGCCATCACAATTAGAAGCTTAAGACTCATTATTCTAGCTCGCTCCCACATTCCACCACTGCACCTTTTAGTTTTTGTGCATGCATGCTTGGGATGAGGCCGGTGCATTAATATATATTGATCGAAGGCCGGGTAGCTAGGGGTATGTACATGCAACTGTTTGGCTTTGTATTGCATTATTGTTCCAAAAATGATGTGTTTGCCGTTAACGTATTTTGTACCTGATGGTAATTACAGATATATAAATTGTAAAATGCAAGTACAGAATAAAATATTAATTCCAGACGCATAAAATGTTGGTGTTATGTAGTTAATAGTTTATGTGTATATAGTTATCATGTTATGTGTGTGGAATTACCATATAATGTGACTTTGTTTATAGCTACATGCAGAATGGATTAACTGTAGGTACAGAATTTGATAATTATTTTGAACTATGGTCCACAATGCAAGATAGACATTGGTTTATGGTATAATTTGTCGTATACATTCTCCTTCTGAGCCAATTACTTTTGGTGGGCTTCAAGCAACACGTGGACCATAGTCTTTTGGCATGGGTCTGATTCTGATACCAAATTGAAACATATGTTCCGTCTCAACTAAATGACTAAGTTGATATATAGTTGGACTACACATTTATACCCAAATTCTACTCCCTCACTTTTACTCATGTCATCTCCAACTAACCCAAAACACCAAATTCTGCACCAAATTTTACACTAAAATGAATATTCTTAGCATATTCTTAAACCAAATTTTTTTCATCTCCAACCCATTTACACCAAATTCTGCACAAAATTTTATTTCATCTCCAATCTATTTACACCAAATTCTATTCATACACTAAAATAAGTTGTATTCTTATAATTTAAAACTTTAATTTTGTTTACTTTAATTATTTTAATATAAAATATAATTTTGATATAAAAAATAATATTTTGAAAAGAAATTTATGTTTTTATGTGTTTTAATTTTTTAAATTATTTTATAGTCGATATTGATCTCGTTTTAAATGTTTTAATGATATCTTTAAATCTTTATAATTTATTTCAAATAATATAAAATTTTAAAAGGAAACGATTAAAAAAAAATTAAAAAAGTTCTACACCAAAATGGCGTAATTGAATAGTCTTTTTACATTTATCAGCTCTTAGCTTATAACTTTTCAACTTTCAACTACTTTTCAGCTTTATCTACCTTTTCAGCTAGGTTTACCAATAATATTTTCTTATTATATGCTTAATACGGAGTATGTCTAGATCATTAATTAATTAACATTCACCCCAACTAACTTTATAAGCCGTATGCGCTCGCTGCATTTATGATTGCCTCTCGATCTTCTCTGAATATCAAATCCGTACCAGAGAGTAATAATTTCTTACTTACTTTCTCATCAGTTGCTTACCTAAGTTGTTGGTGAAATTAAAGCTTTAATGCTGGCCAAGCTAAGATGGACATTATATTCGACAATGAATTAACTGTGCCCCATGCTTCAACTTATCTTCATCGACCTAGCACTTATTTTCTTGTCCTTAATTGCAGAGATCCCATACACGTTGTCGTGAGAAACTTCAGGGCAGGCCCCCTTCAATGTACCAAAAAAAAAAAAAATAAAAATGGAATAAGAGTCAAATAGACTATCCAATTACACACTAAATTACAATTAGGTCAATGAACTAAAAAAAATAATAATTGAGTCCCTCAACAACACAAATTCTTACAATTTGATCTAAAATGACTTGTTTACCTTTTAATATGATGACATGTCGATTTTTTTTTAAACTAATTTTAAAATTTTTTAATAATTTTTAATTAAATTAATATTTTAAAATTTAAAATAAAAAAAAAAAAAAGCAAACAAACAGACACAGCCAGAGACCCCTTCGTCTCCGGCCAGCCATGGAGAACCTTTCGTCTCCAAGGCTGGCCGGAGACGAAGGGCTCCTTCTCCCCCATGGCTGGACGGAGCCGGAGATGAAGGGTCTCCGACTGTTTTTTTTTTTAATATTTATTTAATTAAAAATTATTTAAAAAATTTAAAAATTATTTAAAAATTATGAAACCGACATGTCATCATATTAAAAGGTAAACAAGTCATTTTAGATTAAATTGCAAGAATTTGTGTGGTTCAGGGATACAATTATTGTTTTTTTTTTTGTTCAGTGACCTAATTGTAATTTGGTGTGTAGTTAGATGACCTATTTGACCTTTATTCTAAAAAAAAAGAAAAAATAAACTTCAGGGCAACCAAGAGGATCCACATTAGTATGAGTTTTTTGTTGGTTTTTTTTTTTTTTTGTTGGTTTTTTTATTTTGTTGGTTTTTTTTTTTTTTCCTTATACATGTAAGAGAGAAGAAAATAAAGAAGAGAAAAAAGGAAAAAAAAAAATATTGGACAACCTTGGAAATTTTTTTTGGATCCATTTGGATTTGGAAGTCCCAATGGAGTTTGTTAATTTTACAAAATTAATTTCACATTATATACGTAAAATGCAAGTAGGCATGTGCATCGGACGAGTTCGGACGGATCGGATTTCTCAACCCCTAATCCGATCGGATTTCGGTTTTACAATTCTGCATCCAAACCGTTCATTTCAAACATTATAACCATCAGATTTTTTAATGTTTGGATTTCGGTTTAATTAATTTCAGTTTGACAAAAATATTTAAAAATTTAAAAATATACTACAAAAGCAAGAAAATATACATCCTGCAAAATGCAAATTACAAGTAACTTAAGCTAATATAAACCATATAAGCTAAATAGCTAATTAGCTAAAAAAATACAAAAATACAAAATACAAACTGAAATTACATAATACAGTTCACAGTTCACAGTTCATTAGTTTACACTTCACAAGTCACAACTGCACAATTTTGAAATTGCAACTTCAAACTTCAAAAATTACTTAATGTCTTCATTAAGCAAAACTGCAAAAGCAATAAAGCACCATTCAGTCACTCATGATTCACTAATCACCACAGTCTATAATTTCTCATCTTCCTGTTAAGAAATGCAAATAGGCTCAGATTGCTAATTTTTCAAATCAAGATACGATTGAGGGCAAATTGCTACTTGAGTTTTGGAACAAAATTCAAAACTCATGAGCACATACCAACCCAAAATCCTTTGATTCAGACAAAGATGGAAGCATCATCATAGCCAAAGGAAAATAACCATTGGGGAAGGGAATAGGGAGAGTGATATACCAGTTCAGATTACCATAACACCTTCACTGAATCAAGGCAAAAGGCTAAGGTCCATCGAACTGATAATCCGGGGATATTAATATACCTGTTTTTTCTCAATGATTGAAAGGGTCAATGATTCAAGCGCAATAAAAAACCAATTGATGCCAAGCCATTGTCAAAAATTCAGCATTGAATCACAAAAACATATGACCATATTATCCAACATTACCAACATATAGGCTTCCACAGTATAAATATTCATGCATTTTAATCACAAAAGTGATAGAATCACAAAATGAGAAGATATTTTTATCACTTTTTGTGATCAACAATTCATATGGCCATATATCCATATTATTATCCAATACTTTCAAAAAAAAAAAAAAATGAATACTTAGTGAATTGAGAAATCCGATCCGTCTGAACCCATACAATACACAGAACTATATAAGCTTCCACAATAATGCAGTATATATATTCATGCATTTCAAGCACATAATCACAGAATCAGAAGATATTCTCATCATTTTTTGTGATCAACAAATCATATGGCCACATTTTAAGCAGAGAGAACACAAATTTCAGATTATATTTTCATCATTTTGTGATCAACATTTCATATGGCAGTAAAGTCATATATCCATAAATCACAAATATTACCAAGATGTCAAGATGCATAGTAATTCAGATTCTTAGAGCAGAAAATACAAATCACAAAGTATGCAAAGTCTGATCTGATTTCCATTTCAATATTTCTGAATCATTCATTCCTCACGCTAATCATCCATTGAACTCATCTATTAGCAATACCGCAACAAAATAACATCAGAAAGGGTAATATACTTGAATGTAGAAATATTCAAGCCCTAAGCAGATTGGAGCATATACCTAGCATAAACTGCAAATACGAGTGTAAAAATCCTCAAGCCCTAAGTAGATCGGAGCATATCCCTAGCATAAATAGCAAAGCAGGGCAAAATCTACAAAATTCAGTTCCAAATATCACAATAAAATCAATAAATCAAAACTATAAAATTAGGGTTTGCTTTTCTCACAAATATTTCCCAGAGAACAAGGGCTTCAAGCCTTCAACAGTCACACTCGCTACGAGCTACGGGGCTAGGGCTTCCACTAATACCACCGGATCACTAGAACCAAGATTGTGAGACTGTGAGAAAATAGCAAACTCACAAAAGAAAGAACGGGAGGGTCGAGTTGTCGAGAGAAAAGAGAACTTAGATGCTCACCCTCACTCTCTCAGAACTCAGAGAAATCAAAGAATTAGGTCTGTGCATAGGACGGGGTCAGATTGCAAGAGACTACTCAAAGAGAGAAGAGAGAAGAGACTAGAGAACAGAGAAGAAAACACAGAGAGAGGATTATTGGAGAACCAGAGATTCGCGACGGCGCTCCACCTCCAAGGCTGAAACAATGGGTTATGATTAACACACACACACGCATGCATACACATACACAAAGGCAAACCCTAACGCCCTATCTTCTTTCAGATATTTCGGATATATATATATATATATATATATATATATATATATATATATATATATATATATATATATATATATATATATATATATGTATGTATATGTATATGTATATGTATATGTACATATACATATATATATATATATATATATATATATATATATATATGTATATACATACATATATATATATATATATATATATATATATATATATATATATATATAGGCTTCGAATCTGGTGCAACCCCTATACTAGATGAGATCATGAGATCTCATGATATCCATTGATTCATTTTCAATAAATGGTTGAGATTATAAGAGATTGTGAAAGTAATTAATGATATATTTAAATCAAAAGGATTAAATTGTAATTGTAGATATATGTTTAAATATGGATATA